GAGAGCTTGAGTGAAATTACCGATATTTCAAAAGTCACCAATCTACACCCGCTCCAGCTTGAAAGGAAACTCTCTCTTGTCTGCATTTTTTGGTTTATAACCAGCAGCAAAAGGCACGTTGCAAAACAATTTATCAAGTCTCCTGGTTCAGCATCGAAGCATCTTGCAGCATATGAATCCTCTCTTTTAGTGCCAAGATATGAATGTTCATGTTTGGGAGCTATACTAGCTTTAGCGAAATTGTTTGGCCGCACCAATTCTCTTTCAACTTCCACAATCAACTGACCATCCTCGCTACAGGGATCGAGCTGCTGTTGTGATCGAAATCCAGAACCAGACTTTTTATTATACTCAGAAGTTAACCCTTGAACTTTCAAAAACCATTTCCCACCTTGACAAGAAAATGATCCAACTGGTTCCCATACACGATCAGCCCGAGACACAGGAGTGGAGCGTCTATCTTCAGCACCTTCTTTTGAAAATGAATAAAATGAAAGCATGAGTCTTTTCACATCTTCAGCTCCATTGTCTCGAAGTCTTGGTAATAGACTCATCCCAGATCCCTCAATGTATTTTTACCAAGTGAATGTGCAAGTATTAGAGAGCACTACCACTGGCTTCTCAACTCTCTCTAACCAGATTAGTGGAGCCTTACCACAAAATATTCCTCCTGGATCAAAAGCAAGTTTATTGCCCACAAACACTGCAACCATCTGCTTCTTCAAATCATCAAACAACAAGGAATCCTTGAGTTTTTCAGTCATGCAGGAAATCTCCACTAGTGAAGCCAATTTTCTCTCTATCTCTGTCTGTGATTTCCCTCCATGATTCACACAACCACTCGATTCCATATGTCTCCCTCCCTCATTTTCAACATGTGAGTCTTCGGGTTCTAACTCTCTTACAGCCTTAGCGACTATGTTCTGACCCATCGATCCTTCTCAACATCCACCATCACCGTGTCATCAAGAGTAAGATGATTTATAGGTTTCTGTGATTGAAACCCATAATAAAAGAGGTGAGACACACCTATCATGCCTGTTTCAACAATCAAACTTTTCCCAAGTCAAACTCGTCTCTCCACTTTACAAACTCTAAAACCTGAGGGACCACAGAACATACCATAGCTCTTACAAGCTTGTACAAGCTCACTTTGTGTTGCTTTCTTCTCACAGTGGTTTCGTCTTTTCATTCCCATAGTCTGCACTCCCAAATACCTCTTCCGAAAACTTACGGAAACATTGAAATCCAGCGGATCAATAGTTCTATTGCGAAATCTTCTTTTCCACCTCTTGAATTAAGTCTTGTGGTAGTTGTGCTTGACTTTAATCCCTTTGTGTCTGACGCTTCGATCAGGTCTTGGATCCCCTTTAAAAGAACCCCAACGCATATCATAGTTCACCAAACATGTTGCTAATGCTGAGTTCTTCTTCCTAGATCCCTCCTCGCAATCAAATCTTCTTTTCATTCCATTTGTGTTTACCCTGAGGAACAGCTTTGAAGATCTTGAATAAGTTTTGGATTTAGGTGTGGCTGAAGTGATTCTGTATTCTCTTGTTTCTCCTTTTCATAGCCTTGTAGTTTCGTTCCATAACTTGATATCTTCGAACTTTTGATGCAGCCTCAGGCGTCCTTGCATCAAAATTGCAAGAACTTCTCTGCTTTTCGTCACCCACAAAGTGTTCGGCAATATTCCCAAGAGACTTTTTGACATTTTCTTCCAGTTGATGTTTTTCTGGCCTTGCCTCTTGTGTTCGCTGATTGAGTGTATGTCGATATTGTTGGAATAACTCTTGAAGCTCCTCAAAGGTGATACCTTTTTCCCCACTGTCAAGAGGAAAGCTGTGCTCTGATACCATTGATAAGCTTAGACTTATCGGATAGTGAAAATGAAGAAAGAGATAGAAGAAGAAGGATAAGATAAGCCTGTGACTTATCAGCCAAGCCTGTGACTTGGAGAAGACGAGAGAAGACAAGAGAAGATAAGAGAAAGATATGTTTTTTGATTAATTGTTTGATGATCTCTACAATAATCGTTCGTTGCTTACATATAGAGAAATCTAAAGAAATATCATTTCTAAACTGCACACAGGCCCATAAGCCTCATTGGGCCATCTCGCTATCTTACGAACTTATCAAAACCATTCCCAAAAATAGCATAAAAAAATCTTTAAAGAGAAGTTTTTTACACTTTAAACCTCGAAAGTTCTTAATTAACACTTTAATCTTTAAACTAAATTTTTGAACATATTAAATCATCAATTTAGTTTTTTTTTTGCGCAGATGTGTTGTTTAGAGAAAGCAATTAGCTTAAATAAATTAATATGTTTTTCAATTACAATAGATTTAAAATGTATATATTTCATTTTATAATTCATTCTCAATTCAAAATCAAGAGAAAAAGTGAGAATGAATTGTGAAGCTTCTATCTGTCTGGACAATCTTTTCTGTTCCGATTCGAAACATGGTGTTCTATCACGCAACTTGTTCCCATGTCTTCTGATAGCTTTTAGCTATGGATTCTTCAAAGAACAAGAAAGCTTTACTGGATTGAATGAAATTGTCACTGAAATTACAAAGTAGATCTCGATCACACGTGATCTCGATCATTGATCACATACGATCAGAAAATAGCATACGCTGATTCTATTACAATATTATTCTCTGAATGATCTGTATTGAAGAATGAAAATGAAAGAACTCTATGAATTTCTCCCTGAACATCTTCATTTTACAGCTCAAATTCCACATCATCTTTGACTAATTGTCTCTTCTCTTTCTCTTCTTCTTTCTTTGATAGTAAGCTATCTGACCATCTTTATCGGTGAAAATTTCACAAAAAAGAATTCTCAATAATATATATTATTATTTTAATATAATTTATTATGTATAGTTAAATTTTAATACTGAAAAGAAACTAATCCAATCTATATATAATATCAATCCGAATAAATGCCACTTGCATTTTGATAAATTGTGTCGTTTTAAAATTGGTGGTTGCATCTTTTCATTATAAGTGGTTGCATCTTTTCACTATAAATAGTTGTGTTTCTTCATTAGAAATAGTTGCGTTTTTTCATCACAACTGTAGTTCGTATCTTTTCAAGACTATATATAATAACAATCTGAATAAATGCCACTTGCACTTTGATAAATTGTGTCGTTTCAAAATTTATGGTTGTTTTTTGTCATAATAAGTGGTTGCATCTTTCACTATAAACGGTTGCGTTTCTTCATTATAAAAAGTTACATTTTTTCATCACAACTGTAATTCGTATCTTTTCAAAATTATTTATATTGCTTAAAACCATATAAAAAAAATTATTTGGGTCTGATGTTTACATTTTTACTACAATGGTTTATCATATAAGTATATTAGTTAGATGATTTTTTATAAATAAAAAAGAAAAAATAATAGAAAATTTAACATATAATCGTTTTCCAACAATTCTAAGGAAAAATCACTTAAATCTGATGTTGGTCGTGAAGCATCTCATAACAATCATATAAGTTGTATATTATCATTATATTTTGTATCTTAGCTGTTTAGTAATCTGAATAAATGCCATTAGCACGTTTATAAGCTATGTCTTTTCAAAATTTATGGTTACGTTTTTTCAATATAACTGTTATTATATATAATTTTTGTCTTTTTATTATTAATGGTTGCATTGTTTTATCATTGATAATTTGTGTCTTTTCAAGATTATTTATACTGTTCAAAACTACATAAAAATATCATCTGATAATGATTTTTACTTTCTTATTATAATTGTCTATCATAAAAATATGTTATTCAGATGGTTATTTGTAAATAAAAAAATAAAAATAATAGAAATCTAACATATGATCATTATCCAACAATACCAATTAAGAAGCATTATCAAATTTGACGCTGATCATGAGGGGCATTTCACAACTCTCAGATAAGTTATGTATTTTCATTATATTTAGTGTCATAAGTATTATTAGTATTTGTGTTATGTTTTCGTTTATAATTACTAATTTTTATTAAAAAACTCTATTTTAAAATTTAATAAAGATCAAATATGATTACGTTCTTTCATTTTTTATAACAGTAATTGAAGTTCATCTCTTTTTAATATTCATTATATATATCTCCGCTTATAACAGTTAATTTTACGAAAGTTGCATTGTTTACTATTTATATCTTTTCAACTTTATAAAAAAAAATTGATCATTTTTATTATTTTTTTGTAATATGCATGTTTAGTAAATAAATTTATTAAACTAAAATGAATGAAGTTTATTATTACTTTATCATGTCTTTTTCCCAAACTTAATCTAAAAAGTTTATTAATCACATAAACAAGTTTTCTTCTCTATTTGAAAGTTTGTTCAAGGTATATTTACATATTTTTATTTTTATTTTATGTATTTTACTTATAATTATTTCAAAAAAATTTCTGTTTAATTTTTAATACACGAAAAATTAAACCCGCAAAGCGGGTCCTATTCCTAATTAAAATAAGACAATTGGTTTTATGATGATATTTTTATGTAGTTCAAAATCCGTTCTTCATTAGTTTTGAGAATCTTTCCGATATATTTTTTTTGAACTTTTTTTTTATAATGAGATACTTTGGTAAAAACCCACCAATGGAAGTTCTCTCATCTTCCATCAGCGATGTCTCTTGAAATGGCTTCAACGCAAAAACACTTGCCCCTTGTGTCCAACTGTTCTGTACGATTGATCGATGATTTGGAGCAAATAGGATTGAAATTATGTTTTATCTACTCATTGCCCAACTGGGGTCACTCGCTCTTTATGTAATTTTGCTGTTGGAAATTGTATTTTCACAACACAAGTGAATTGGGTACTTAAAATGTAATTTTCGTTTTTTTTTAATCCTCTGCTAAGGTTTAACTTTTAAATTCAAATAGTTGTAATTTCCATATCGGATTCAACTCGCCGGAAAGTTTTAACCTTTATTACTATAACAGTGGAATACAAACAAAGCTACGAACTTGCTTGTTGCCAGCCGTCGGCATATAAAACAGAGCTTATGCATTTTGATGCTGCGTTTCAAATTGGTTTGTGAATTTACAAAAGCGAATGTCTTACCTCGGAAAGTGGCAAGTTCTGTATCAGTTTAACACAAACAATGATGTTCAAGTACGATAACATTACAATTGGACTCTGTTCTTCAAGTTTGTTTGTAATTTAATTAGAGTTAGAAGAGAAGAAAGAGCAAAGCAGAAAACCAATAATTTCATTCTTCTTTTTATACATAGTTGAGTAGAAATATAAAAAAATAACCACAAAGTTTAAAAACAGAGAACCTAAAAACACCAATTAAAAACTAAGAGAGATAGACAAAGAACCATAGAAAATAAGAAAACCATATTCTAAAAACCAAACTAAAATACATACTTAAGAAGGGCTTAAGAAAGAATCAACCTTGAGGTTAGTAGAACCAGACAAGAACTTCATGCAAATAGGAGGCTTAACACCAGCTAAAGCAAGTATAGAGCTTGGTAATGTCCAAATCCCTTCACCACAAATCAAACCAGAAGCAACAGCTGAAGAGTAAGCATCAGCTTTTGGTTTATTGAGCTTCCTCCATATGAACAAAATCAAACTCCCCACACACATATCGATCGTGAAGTAACCTCCGATGTAAAACGGTATAGCCATAGCCATCGGCAACGGGATAAACCGAGCCCATTTCGGCCCAACGAGATCCCTAACGGCGTTCACAATCACCGCGGCCGCGAAGAACACGTAACAGAGCATGAGGCAGTGTTTAGGTAAAGCTGAGAAGCCTTCTACTCCAAGTATCGACATGTTTCGGTAGACCAACGCGTAAGGCGCGGGATACGCGGTCCCGGTTTGACCAAAGTCCGGGAAGGCTTTGTAGAAAAGCCAGAAGACGCAAGGAGAGATGACGCAGCCCATAGCTGTTCCAATGGCTTGGCTCAAGAACATTGATCTCGGTGAGGCTAAGGTCATGTAACCGGTTTTGAAATCTTGCATAAGATCAGAAGCGGTCGAGACAATGTTCATCATTACACCACAAGCCGCGAGACCGGCCAAGACTCCCCCGTTGGCCGCGCCGGCCCAAGCACCAATGGTGAAGATGGCGAGTTTGCCGTAAGTTGAAGCTAAGGACCAGTCGGTGAGTCCGCAACCATAGGCGTTACAGAAGGCTAGGACCGGTGCGATTATGTACATTGTCAAAATGTGGTACCATTTGAGCTGAGGGAAGATGTGTGGGACTGTGATGATTGAGACAATGGCCATGACTACGTAACCTGTTACAGCGATCCATGATGGGATCCTGTCTTTGAGGAAAAGCTCTGTTCTTCGTTTGTCGTCGTAAGAAACGGTTATGGTCGTTGGTGATGAACGTTCGTTGATGGGAAGAACATCTCTGTTCTTGAATTGCTTGTATAGACCGAAGACGGTTCGGCCTAGGACTTTGACAAAGTTGTATAGACCATCACCGAGGATCATAGCTATGGCTATAAACACCTAAGAGGATCAATCAAAACCCAAGATTGTAATTAGTGAATTCATAAAAAATCAGAGAGAGAGAGAGAGAGGAGAAAGTAATACCTTGTAGCCTTGAAGACCATGGAGACTAGTTGAGCCAAGATTAGCAGAGTACCATTTGCCTTTTTGGGCACCTATGAGAGGCCACATAATACCCCAAGAGAGTATTGATCCAACGAGAAGCGATACATTGATTAGGTAAGGACAAATCATTCCAACACCAACGTATGTAGCCGAGAAGTCAAAGTAGAACCTGATTTTGTATATTCACAAACCAAAAATAAGTAAGATGAAATGGTAAATTGGTCATGAGCAAGGCAAGATATGGATTGTGAAAAGTTAATATCCATACTTGTTTTCATAGGCTTTGAGACCAAATGTAGGGAAGTTAGCGAAACCACAGTCGTCACCAGAAGTAAAGAACCATTGAAAGAAACCCCACAAGAAACTGAATGAGAAGAACTTCCCCAATGCTCTCACTTGTTTCCTGTAATGTAGAGAAGAAAGAGAATCAATATTAAGAACAGAGACTCGTATTTAGATTGATGTGGATTAATCATGATAAAAGATTCTTACTTGGCAAGTTTTGCTCCTTGAGGTGTATGGAAGCTGTTGATGAGATGAGCAGTTGCAGTACCACTAGGATATGTCAATTTGAAGTCCACTATCATGATCTGGAGAAAAAGAGATTCATTAGATTGTTATAAAATGTGACTATAGATGTAATTAAGGATTTTGGTAGGTACCTTCCGAAGGGGAACCACAGAGAAAAGACCAAGAAAGCTGACGATAAAGAGAAATCCAATCATCCAACCCAAATGAGGATTCTTTATGTTGAGAGGAGTGTTGGCTTCGGCTGATTGTTTAGCAACAATATCACTCATCCCAAAGAGATAACTACCAAATCCTCCTGTTCACACACACAAAATATTTTTTAAGTCAAACCAAACAAGCAAAGTTGACTTATTGATCTCTATACATAAATTAAGGAGGATCACAATTACAAAAAGTCGGGTCTATAAATCTTACATCAAGAGTATATCACTAAAAATATTAGATTCTCCTGTATTTATCATTCAGAATTTTCATTAAATTTTGATCATTCAATTGTGAATGAAAATATTAAACATACAAACTCGTAAACCTTCCTGCTCAAACACACAAATTTTTAAAAGTCAAACCAAGAAAGCAAAGTTAAGTTGATGATCTTTATACATTAGTGATCATCACAGTTACAAAATGTAGGGTCTAAAAGTTTCACGTCAAGAGTATATCATTAAAATTATTAGATTGTCCTGTATTTACCATTCACAATTTTCATCATATTTTAATCATTTAAATGAATTCCAAATATCAAACATAAGAACGATTACTTTTGGTTAGGTTATCCAAACACCAAAGATGACATTATTTAGCACCAGAGTTGAATAATTAATGTTTTAGAAGATGTGGATTGATTTCTTTAATTAAGAACCAAAGGAAAATCTAATCATAACTAAGATTCCTCTACGTAACTAGTCGTTAAATTAAAACCTATAAAGGTCATGTGTGTACAATTAGCCAACTCGACGTTACTCCATGTTCCGATTTAACACACATGTGGGTATAGCAAGTCAACTCTTATTAAATAAACTGACGTCAAGATAGAGAACGAATCACGTGAGACAAAAATAGTTGTTCACTTGAAAAAGTCCAATCTTCATTCATTAAGTGTGTTTACACATGAAAGGTGATGTCTGTTTCAGCATCGAAAACAGTTCAAATATTAAATTTTCCAAGTATTTAAAATATATGAGAATCACAATTATTCTTTTACCAAAAAATCATTTAACTTTTGTCATTATCAATGAGTTGTCAGTTTCATTCCCATGAAGTAAGAAGTCAACAGATATGGTGGATATATTTTTCAATTTGTTTGCTCTAAGTGAGAATCCAGAAATAACAGCTACTAAAAATGAGAACTGAACTTCCTAATAGAGCGCCGAAATCATATGCAAACAAAATATTTGACTTGACCTAATCACAATCTCACGCGTCATGTTTCTATCAACATGCCGTGTACTGTGTAGATAGGTTTCTCATTTTATCACAAAGTTATAGACGTCACTTACACTAAATTTAGCACACAACTATTAATCAAATTCTATATGCATACATCAATCTAATAATACATGTACTATTACATATATTGTATTTCTATAAGCCTAATAGAATATCTCTTTGTTTTATGTATTACTCACTATGTCTCTCTTTCTCATATGTTTAATGTACTATTATACTAATATTTTCGATTTCAAATATGATGTTAATAAAAAAGAATACAAATTAATCAGATAATTATATGCATATATCAATCTAGTGATAGCTGCAGCAGACCTAACTGATACCAAAGAAAATGGAGTAAATAGGCCTGAAATAGTCATCTGGGACTCACAGATAATCTTAAGATTAGAAAGATTAATTTTTAAATTTTACCTCAAATCGCTAAAAGGATAAATATTAGGGGAAAAAACTATATTATATGATATTCTAATATAACATGTATATCTATTTTTGTTAAAGGGTTTTCATAAATGATGTATAATCTTATACCCACAAATCTTTTCCTTTTTTTCACAACTATCTATCCGATGATTTTTTTTTTTTAAAGAATAATGACACAAAAAAATCCGCGAAAAGTAGAATGTGTCTCTTTCACAGATATCTCACAGCGAAAAGGTTTTTAGCCGTAAAGGGTAAATAAATTATAGACGGTGGTGACACGAACGAGATGGAATCAGTTACGATTCCATTGACTCGTTCACGTCACAGAATTTCGAAATTCCACTAGATACCAACTTTATCTCCTCAACAAAATTCAAAATCCAAACCTAATTTAAACAATCAATTTTTCGAATAATCACAAAATTAATTAATTACTAAAATAAGAAAACAGAGTCACTGTTTGATCGGAAAAGAAACGTACCGCTAAAGGCGATGCCGGAGGAAGCGACGACGCAGGTTTGAATCACGGTGTTCTCTTGCCTAGTGAATGGTTGTTTGAGAAATCCACCTTTCTGAAGAAGCTTCGTCCACGTCTTGACGAAGAAGAAACCGAGTAAACCGGCGGAGATATTGAGTGACGGGATGATTCCAGTAGTGAGATTCAGCTTCATCACGACGAAAGTGAAGAGAATCGAGAGGATAAAACTCACGATCATCGCTCTAAATGTGAGCTGATTCTGCCACGGCGGAGGAACCTCCGCGCTCGCCTCGAAGATTCTCTCGACGGAGACTTCTTCGGCGGATCCTCCATCTGTTGCCGCCGCGGAATTGAGATCGTCGTCTTTCTTCGCTCGCTCTACCTCCATAACTCGGATCTGACTGAGAGAGAGAGAAGAAGGGGTTTGGTTTATAAAGAAGGGAGAGAATCTCAGCAGAGAAAAGCGGCGAGTAAGAAGGGAATAAAAAAACTGATTATATTGTGTGAGTGAGAGAAAGCGAATCAGTTTCACATTCTATTTATATAAGTCAATATTCTCTTCTCACAACGGGGTTTAGATTAAAATAAAATACGCTGATAATTTATGTAATTAAAATATAGATTAAAATTCTCCTTCAGCTATCCAAAATTACGTTTTCTTAAAGTAAATCAAATTGATTCAAATTACTGATAAACAAATTTCTATCGAAAAATAAAATGAAGAACCAATTTTATTAAATGAATGAATTGATTTTAAAAACAATTTTAAATTTTTTTGGTCATTATCTATTAGAATTATTATCAAAGATTTTTTAACTAATTCAATCACAAATTAACGATTCATATCAAATTTAGTCCATCTTTAAATATTTTTATGTTCATTAATTTCGATAAGTTTCTCCTATATTTTTGATATACACTATATTTTTAAGGGTTTTCATTATTTATGGTTTTTAAAATGTTTTCCAGTTTTTTAAGCTATATGTTTTTCAGTTTTTATTGACTTAAAGTGTCTATATAGTTCTTTTAGTTCTCTCTTTTTTTTTTCCCGGGATTTAGGTTTAGAGGTTACTACCCGTACGTTCGTGCGGGATAATGTTTGTAAAAATATTTAAGAGATATTTTATAATTTATTAAGTTTTGAAAAATATTTGGGTATCTAAAAATGTTCAGTCGAGATTTAAAAAAATTTAGTTATTTTCGTTTTAAATTTAAACTTATACAAAGTGAGATTTACATTTATTATCGTCCGAGATTTCAAAAAACAATATTATTTTTTCTATTTGTATAATATGTGAATCAAAACTGTTGATAAATACTCGTAGATCTAAAAACATGTAACTAATTTAATTTACTAAACCAATAAACTCGATTTTTCTTGTTTCAGGATTTTTTATCCTTACTTTGAATCTTTGGGTTTAGACATGTTTTTCCTGACTTTGTCCGTGTCAACAAACAATTCGAAATGCCTCGACTACAAAATTTTAGGGGGACCACTGGGAGCTTGCGGAGAGTTATTGGCCAATCAGTTCTGTGGAGATTAGCTCTTTAGTTTTGCTGGAAATCTGGAAGCAGTCAAATTATCGAATTATTTATGATTGATTCGATTTAAATTCGATTTAATTTAAATAATTTAAAATAAAGCGTTTGGTATTAAAGATAGCACACAAAAATAAATTAATAAAAAATTAAAAATGAGATAATAACACCTAAGCTAATTTTTTCTGTTTAATGTATGCTAGATATTTTTTAAAAAAATAAAGATTCACTTAAATTTTCTGTTATGTTTGTCTAAATTGAATTGTTTTAATTATATACAAAAAATCTAAATATTTATTGCAGATTTTAAAAACATTAAATGCAATTAAAAAATAAATAATTAGAGAAGTTTTTGTTTGGTTGCAAGAATAAATTATTTAAGTTTTTAACCGTTATAGAGATTTTAAAAATTCAAAATTCTAAGATAATGACACATAAGCCACTAATGCTTCCTGTTTAATATACTAGGTATATAATTTGCGCTACACGCGAGTCTGTATTAATATTTTGGTTTATTTTTTTTAGCTATTATCTTTAAAATTATTAAAAATTATATATATTTATAGAAATTTTTATTTATATAAGAGAATTTATTATATAATGTGTAATTTATCCTATTTTTATTTATAAAATTTTAAAAACTATTAGGTAAAATAATAACAATGACACCTATCGAATTATCCAACTTTGGCGTACATATAAATTATTTTAGAGAAATATAATCTTGCTAAGATTTTGTTATTATTTTCTGTTTTCCATAGAATTTCTATAGTTTTTTTTTTCTTGAAAGTTTTTATGTGTTCAAATATTTAGTTTTTTTTTTCTATTAAAAGTCTTATTGATGTTATGTACCACTGTATATATAATCCATGATTCATGTTGATTCACATTTAATTTTGTTAGAAAGCTGTAATGATCATGCAAAACCATTTTTTCCTTCTCCATCATATCTTCCAAGAGTTTTATATTATATTTTTATTCAGTTTTCATTGTTTTAGTTGTTATATCAAGTTGTTGTAGATTTTTTTAAATTGATAATTAATAATGATTACTTTTTTTATACATGTATTGTTAATTTTTAATTTTTTATATGACTTTTAAAATTTTAAACCATATTAACATTTTCTGATTTAATAAATATGTTGATTTGGATCAATCAGATTAAATTTACTTTTTTTGATGGACGTAATTTGTTAAATTAAATTTTAATGTTTTAATTATACTTAATAATTTTTGGTTTGATTTAAAAGCTGAAGTGGACCAATTAAATCAAGTTTTTCTGTCCTAATCATACTTAACATTTTTTATTTAATGAATATGCTGATGTGGACCAATCAGATCGAGTTTTTTAATCTCATGTGGACGCTTTCATACACTATGCCATCAACTCTTATATATTATAGATTTATATTATAAATTTGAACCAATCATTTGGACGCTTTCTATTTGTTACTTAACTTTTTTATTTAACTTTTCCATTTTTAAAGGAAAATTAAGGTTTTAATCATACTTAACATAATTTTTTGTTTAATGAATATGCTGATGTGAACCAATCAGATCGATTTTTTTAATCTCATGTGGACGTCCTCAATGCACTATGCCTTCAACTTTTATATATTATAGATTTATATTATAAATTTGAACTTTTATGCTATTGGTTTTTTTTGTTATTTTAACTCTTTCGAAAACAAATTTCTATTTTATTTTTAAGGATACTATTTTTTAGTTTTTTTTAACATAATTTTCTTTTATATTTGTTACTTAAGTTTTTTATTTTATTTTTCTATTTTTAAAGCGAAATTAAGGTTTTAATCATACTTAACATTTTTTTTGTTTAATGAATATGCTGATATGGACCAATCAGATCTAGTTTTTTAATCCTATGTGGATGTCCTCAATGCATTATGCCTTCAACTTTTATATAAGTTAAATAATAAAAATAACAATTAACAATACATGTATAAAAAAGTAACAATTATCAATTATCAATTATCAATTAAACTTTGATGTACATATACATTTGATTTAGAGAAAGATAATTTTGCTAAGATTTTGGTATTATTTTCTGTTTTCCATAGAATTTTTATAGTTTTTGTTTTCCTTGAAGGTTTATGTGTTCAAATATTTAGTTTTTATTGATTGGCCCAAAAAAAAAAATATTTAGTTTTTATTGAAAGTCTTATTGATGTTGCGTACCACTGTATATATAATCCATGATTTATGTTGATTCGCATTTAATTTTGTTCGGAAGCTGTAATGATCATGCAAAACTATTTTTTCTTTCTCCATCATGTTTTCCAAGAGTTTTATGTTATATTTTTATTCAGTTTTCATTATTTTAATTGTTAAATCGAGTTGTTGTGGATTTTTTTAAATTGATAATTGATAATGCTTACTTTTTTATACATGTATTGTTAATTGTTAATTTTTTATTTAACTTCTAAATTTTTAAACCATATTAACATTTTCTGATTTTATAAATATGTTGATTTGGATCAATCAGATTGAATTTACTTTTTTTGTTGGACATAATTTGTTAAATTAACTTTTAATGTTTTGATTATACTTAATAAATTTTGTTAAATTAACTTTTAATGTTTTAATTATACATAATAGTTTTTGGTTTGATTTAAAAGCTGATATCGACCAATTAAATCAACTTTTTCCGTCCTAATCATATTTAACATTTTTTTATTTAATGAATGTGCTGATGTGGACCAATCTGATTGAGTTTCTATATCCTATGTGGACGTCTTCAATGCACTATGCTATCAACTTTTATATATTATACTAGGTATATAACTCGCGCTACGCGCGAGTCTGTATTAATTTTTTGGTTTATTTTTTTTACCTACTATCTTCAAAATTATTAAAAATTATATATAATTATAGAAATTTTCATTTATATAAGAGAATTTAATGTATATAATGTGTAATTTATTCTATTTTTATTTATAAATTTTAAAAAACTATTAGGTAAAATAATAACAATGACACCTATCGAATAATCTAACTTTGACGTACATATACATTTGATTTAGAGAAATATAATATTGCTAAGATTTTGGTATTATTTTCTGTTTTCCATAGAATTTATATAGTTCTTTTTTTTCTTGAAGGTTTATGTGTTCAAATATTTAGTTTTTTATTGAAAGTATTATTGATGTTGTGTACCACTGTATATATAATCCATGATTCATGTTGATTCACATTTAATTTTGTTACGAAGCTGTAATGATCATGCACAACCATTTTTTCCTTCTCCATCATGTCTTCCTAGAGTTTTATGTTATATTTTTATTCAGTTTTTATTGTTTTAATTGTTAAATCGAGTTGTTGTAGATTTTTTTAAATTGATAATTGATAATGATTACTTTTTTTATACATGTATTGTTAATTGTTAATTTTTTTTATTTAACTTTTAAAATTTTAAACCGTATTAACATTTTTTATTTAATAAATATGTTGATTTGGATCAATCAAATTGAATTTACTTTTTTTTGTTGGACATAATTTGTTAAATTAACTTTTAATGTTTTAATTATACTTAATAATTTTTGGTTTGATTTAAAAGCTGATGTGGACCAATTAAATCAAGTTTTTCTGTCCTAATCATACTTAACAATTTTTTATTTAATAAATATAGTGATGTGGACCAGTCATATCGAGTTTTTTAATTCCATGTAGACACCTTCAATGCACTATGCTATTAACTTTTATATATTATATGATGATGTTAGATTTGGTGGAAAACTATTAAATAAACCATTTTGATTACATATGCTATAAAAATATACTTCAGATTATGCAGAAGAATCATAAGTGCGACATTCATGCATATATAGGAATATATATAGGAGTCAGAATCGTAACACTGTAATTTGCGGACATATTGATATGAAGATTATTAAACTGTATTTCTAGTTCTCATTAATTAAGAAATTAAATGTATATAATACGTATATAGTATGGTCAAGCTAAAATAAACTTAAACCACAAAAAGAGCAAACCAACTAAACCAATATTAACCAGTTGTATACTTTAATACAC